GGGCGGGAGCCGCCCGAGCCTCCCGCAGTCCGCTGCCAGGGCTGCGCAGGGCAGCTGGAAAGCCGCAAGTGCCCTGAGCTGTGCTGCTGCGGTGAAACCCAACGCCACGCACGCAAAAAAACATCGACAAGGGAAGAAAACCAGGAAAAAAAGAAAAAATTCTCGTGGTAATTTTCTCCAGGTCTCAGGCTGTTCCTCCAGACAAAGCTCACCGCTCCCACATCCACCTGGAACTGGGACAACCCTGGCTGGGCGGATGCGGCACGCATCGCTCAACAAAGCTTTTGCCATTTTGGCTCAGTTTTGTCTCGAACGCGATGAGATAACATCGTCTCTCACAATTCAATTTTATGAGGGTCTGTCAGCTCGGTTCCCATCTGTTCTGGAAAATAAGCCTTTTCAGGTTCGGGTAGGATGTGGAGTCAAATCCACAGAGCACAGATTTAAATTCAAGTACTTGAAGCCCTCTGCTATTGCCAGGCAGCGAGGGGAGGGCTTGCATTCGAGCTTCCATGTCAAGCTGGTTTCTGTTTCGAACCTTTTATTAATACTTATCATTTATAAAAGACAAAGAATATACAGCAAAGAGGAAACAAAGAAAGAAGCGATGCACTGTATGAGAATACACTCTCTGCAGCACTGGGGAGATAGAGCAGGTAGGAAGAAAAGCAGAGATTCATTAGGGTAAAGGTGTTAAATTGTAACTACAAAATGTGAATAAAATCTAGTAGGAGAAATGAAGGCACTACCTGGTGTAGAAAATGAGAATTAGAGCATTAGAGTGGCACAATATAGGCAAGAGATCCCAAAGCTGATTTCTTACAGTGCTCAGGGCTGACCATTGGATGTTGGGAAGACTGGGCTACACGCCCTGGTCTGACTGCTTGTGTCCGTATAGAGATATATAATACTGTCATTGCTACTACACATCCAGCACTTGGAATTGCACCCTCCGTTACATGCTGCTGAAAAGAAAATGTGTCCAACACTGAAGTCGATAGACCTGGGGCAGCTTCAGCGGCTGCACCCTGAGCTCTGGTCACCAGTGTCACAGCTTGCCACTCGAGATGTCTGCTCAGAGCTGCCATCCCCTCCCAGGAGCTGAGCGCTGAGCTTCACTTTACAGCCCTTTAAGAGATCAAGAGACTGTAAGTGGCAGCATTTGCACCAAAATTGCCAAGGTATTAACACTGATTTATTTCAATAATGGTGATATATTCACAGCCTTATTTCATCACCCTCCTTAGAATCCTGAACGCTCCGCTAATGAAGAAATATCTGCTTCTGCCTGTGCTCTGCTGCTGTCGATGGTGAAGGAAACAAAACTTGTCTCCCTAGGTACTGTTCTGCTCACCATTCTCATATGCAACTATTACTTTATTCACAAAGAATAAAAAAAGCTTTTCAGTAATCAATTACTAAGAGAGTCAGGAGTGATCTATAACTTCAGACTGTGCTACACAGAAAAAGGATTCCTGTGATTTTCCCTCCAGTACCTCTCTCAGCCCTGTTTGCAGGAAGCAACTGACAGGATGCAGGAGGGAAGCTGTCTGGGCAGAGCAATGCCTTCCCTCTGCCCCAGAAATCTCTGGCCAGATGCAGCTGAGTTGGGAAGAGCTAAGGACTGTCATATCCTCTTTTTTCTTATTTGCATTCCTCATAAAATGTTGGCAGTCCGCTGAAATCACTGAACGTAACAAAGGCAAAGCCAGCCTAGCAGCTCTGCCAAAGCAGCAGCTGCAGGTATTGGACAGAGGACACCTCCGAGCGCTCAGAATGAGCTTTGGTAAGGACACGTGTGTGTGTGTGGAGGAGAAGAGAGCTAGGTTCCCACCCCCGGTCCATTCCCAGTCCAGCATCGCATCCTTCCCTGGGGGTAACAACTAACAGGAGAGCTTTTCCAGCTCACGCTGCCCTCCTACACCCATTCTCTCCCAAAAGTGACCACAGCACCGAGCCACCTCTTTCTCTGCTTCCAAGAGAAAGTGAGGGAAATATTTTCCTGAATCACTGAAGGGACTGATGTCTGTGCTGTGCTGGTGGTAGCTGGAGGTTTCAAACCGCGCTGTGCATGGCAGGTTACTGTGTCGTACTGAGCCAGACTCGCCACAGACAGAAGAAAAAACCTGATAAGGAACTGGAAACTACCCTGTTCTACTCAATGGGTTTCCGCAAAACTGTGATGTCAGAGCAGCAGCACACACATTCTGGGGGGCTAGCTAGGGTCAGCAATGCACCGTCCCCAGAGCTGTGCAGAGACGCTTTGCTCGGGTACAATTAGGTGCCAGTGCTACCCTGGTATCTGAGACTCGAGCCCTGCGCTGGCCACCAGCTCTGCTCATCTTCCATGGATCTGAGCATCAGAGAGCGCCCAGGCCTGGTAGCAGGCTCGCTGCCATCCCTGGAGCAAAGCAGAGCTGTTGGTGTGTGGGGCCGGGAATGCCTTTTTCTTTCAGAGAAGGAAGAGGTGTGACTGAGAGGTGGGCCAGAAGCAGAGGGATGAAGAAAGGGGGATAGGGAAAG